GTACCGGCTCCACCAGTCTTTACTTGTAGCTCAAGCCAGCCGGCTCACAATGTGACTATTTGCACATTATATGAAATTTTCGAGTTTCTACTTGTTATAGTGTGACGTGAGAGTTCCACGCCGGGGCTGCATATTCAAAGGCGAGTCTTACATAGGTTGTGTGTAGGGTCCAGAAGGCTCCTTTGTCTAAGTTTCTGTAAGCTACGCGGACGTTGGCCAGTTTGGCATATGTTACTGGTGTCATTTTGCTATCCTGTTGCTTTTGGAATTCAATTTAGGGTCATGTCTACTGGTAGAGCGATCTATTGATGCTGTAAGACTCAGTCTCCCCTTAATTCTGTAATAATGCACAGGTCTTCTCACACATTTCCTAACAATTTTATCTTTACATTTGGCTGGGTTGATTTCTAGTAGCCATTTTTCAGACCACTTCAGGAGTGTATCCAAATGCTTTTGCAATGTATTACAATTTCATTATATTCTGTAGCATTAGTTTTGCATCATCTGTAAACAAGAATATGAAGAGCCAATTTCCTGCGAGGGGGTCGAGGCGCGTTAGTAAGAACACTGATACCCCTTGCGGCACTCCACTCCTTACCTCTCTCTCTCTCCACTCTCACTGCACGTTCTCAAATTCAGTTCCCATGTTTCCTCTAGTGCCCCTGCCCCTACCCTCTCCTCATTCCCCCAGCCCCTCCCCTTCCCTCTCCACATCCCCCCTGCCCCTCCTCCTCCCTCTCCTCATCCTCCCTGCCCCTCCCCCTCACCCCTGGCGCTGTCGTACACGCCTCATAATTTTCCCTATTGTTAGTGGGGAAAATCTTCTCCCGTCTTACTGTCAGCTGGAGTCCTCGTTACCTGTCGCTTCACGGGCTCTCTGTGGGGGTGGTCTCACCTATTGCTGCCTGCTGGATTGACCTCTAGCTCTTGGACCCCGCTTTTCAAGCCGTGGGTTATCTATTGTCTACGTTGGTTGTGTGTGTGTGTGTTTACTTACTATTTGTTTGCTATTGGTGTCTGCAAAATCAAGCTATTAGCTCTTGGACTCCGCCTTTCTAACCAATCTATTTTTTCTCTATTATATCTACTACATTTATTTATTTCACACACACACACACACACACACACACACACACACACACACACACACACACACACACACACACACACACACACACACACACACACTTGGCGGGATCCAAGAGTCAATGCTCGATCCTGTAAGCACAAATAGGTAAGTACACACTCACACCCATACACACACACATACACACACACACAAGGACACACACCCACACACCCACACCACCCACACACACACCAGCCCTGCCATACACACACACCCACACACCCACACCACCCACACACACACCAGCCCTACCACACACACACACACACACCACCCACACACACCCACACACAGACACACACACCCATACACCCACACACACCAGCCCTACCACACACACACACACCACCCACACACACACACACACACACACACACCACCCACACGCACACACACACACACACCACCCACACGCACACACACACACACACACACCCACACGCACACACACACCAGCCCTACCACACACACACACACCACCCACACACACCCACACACAGACACACACACCCATACACCCACACACACCAGCCCTACCACACACACACACACACACACCACCCACACGCACACACACACCAGCCCTGCCATACACAACACAATAAACGCATTACCCCCATGACCAGCGTGTGACTGGCCGCGAGGAAACACCCACAATAACCTCTGCACTTAAACACTAACATAAGCTGGTGGTGAAAGCCGGAGCTGAAATAGAAGTTTGTGAAGATGTAGAAAAAATAAGATTAACATTTACTGTTGAATCAAGATGCAAATTGATAAATATGGAAAAAACATTAAAATTGGAGGTTAAATTAAAATGGGACTTACGAATTGTTGGAGAGAAAATGGAGAGTTAAAATTAGTGGTGGAGATTGATTGTTGGTGAATTTTAAAAATATGATTTTAAATAATTGGTAATAAATGTACAAGGAAATGTTCAATTGAAGGCAAAGTAGAACACGGAATTGTTTAACAAGTTAAATTGGCAATAATGATGCGGAGGCCACGCAGCATAAATTGGGAAGCTCAGGTGAACTAACAGTGTCCAATACCCTCTCATCCTCTTTGCATCAGTTTGCCAATTAGTATCGTTACAATACACTTGGGTTGTATCTTGTGTAGAGAATACATCATACACCGAGGAATAAATAGGGGTGGAATTGAATATCAGTTTACTGGACGCTTTTAACGATTATTAGAATCCTGTGTACGTCTAATTTGTTATTTTGGGGTTGTGACGCTCGTAACTTGTGGGTTGTGTCCCTCGTAACTTGTGGGTTGTGACCCTCGTAACTTGTGGGTTGTGACCCCTACTAACTTGCTTCCTTTCATTCATTTAATAGTTGAACTGTATATGTAATTATTGAAAACCACGAGAGAAAGAGAGAGAGAGAGAGAGAGAGAGAGAGAGGGGGGGGGGGACGAAGAGAGAGAGAGAGAGAGAGAGGGGGGGGGGAGAGAGAAGGGAGGGAGGGCGGCAGGACTGTAAATGACAGGTGGCCTTGGAGTTAAAGGCAGTCTAAAACGTTCCCTTTTCAAAGTTCAGTCGGACCGCTGGCCACAGCTCTCCCTGCCTGCGTCCCTGACTGCGTCCCTGCCTGCGTCCCTGCCTCCATGCTGGTGGTGCTGCGAGTGATGGCACTCTTCCCCTTACTGATGTCTGCCTGTATCCCTGTGATTGTTTTTATTGTTGACTTAAGAGCCTCGACGGGGCAGTCTTGCCGGATGTACCCTGGCGTGCCCCGGCGTGCCCCGGCGTGCCCCGGCGTGCCCCGGCGTGTCCTGGCGTGCCCTTGGAGGGTAAGACGCAAAGCCTTACGGCTATATTAACGATGCCCGTCGCCGGAAACAAACAGGTTTCGCGGGGGATAAACAGGGACAGACAAGCAGGTGTTTGGGGCGTCTAAGGAGTCCTTCAGGGAGGCAGACACGGGTCTCCATTCTCCCCCCCCCCACACACAGCGTAGCCAAACACAGCCTAGGCAAAAACATGACCCCAAATAAACTCATATCCAAATAGGCAAATACACAAACGTCTTCTAGTGACCTCTGACACAGCAGGCGCCAGCCACACACCACGCCTTACGGACACACCTGGAGCCCTACTGTGCCTTGTTGTATGTCCACACCTGTGGCTTGTTGTGTGTGTGTGTCCACACCTGTGGCTTGTTGTGTGTGTGTGTCCACACCTGTGGCTTGTTGTGTGTGTGTGTCCACACCTGTGGCTTGTTGTGTGTGTGTGTCCACACCTGTGGCTTGTTGTGTGTGTCCACACTTGTGGCTTGTTGTGTGTGTGTGTCCACACCTGTGGCTTGTTGTGTGTGTGTGTCCACACCTGTGGCTTGTGTGCACTTGTGTCGTTCATGTTCTGTCATTGTGAACAATTTCGCAGAAATAATTGTTTAATTATTATAATTGGCTTTTTACCAATATTAGTTTTTTTATTCTGTAATTATCAATCCATTTTATAGTTTTAATTATTATTATTAAATAATAATTATCGGTAACGTAAAATATTTAAACGAAATACTAAATTAGGACTGAGTGGGTCTTGTAATCCAGCTAATCCAGGAGTTAATGGATGTTCAGGTGTGTATAGTTGTGTATACTCACCGCATGTGTGTATAGAGGTGTATACCCACCGTTTATGTGTATACTCCCCGTGTATATAGTTGGGTATACTCTGTTGGGATCGAACCTCCGTTTGGGAACAAACCCATGTGTAATATTATTGGTATCTGTATTTCAGGGTTCCCGCGAAGGTCTTCATATCGTCATATACGACTTGTGCCAGCCACAGTGCACCAGCCTGGCCCATCGTCAAGATGTGGCCCTCACTCTTACGAGAAAATGACGCAGCTCCAAGACTTTGGGTTAATACAGTAACATGCTTATACCTTTCAAAAAAAAATCACCCTACTATATTTATCTTTATGTACACACATATATACACAGTTTGTTTATATAGAATATGTCAATGTTATTCCCATCGATATCGTAAGGTTTTTACTGACGTCACCAGAGTACACTATAAATATTTTTGATCATTTACACTCTACAATGTCTTATAATTACCTCAGTGAATATCTACCACACATTATGTTCCTTTACAACTAGAGTGTAAACAAAAACCTTATAGCACCTCATAAGTGAGGATCCAATGAGAATCAAATCTTGTGCCACGCAAATGGTACACCAGATCTTCTTGTAACACATCTTAAAAATATCAACAATAACCTTTTGGACGATCTCGTAGGACGGGGACATCTTCCAGCCGCCTGGCGGGCGTGCGACTCCCGCAGGTGAGGTGGAGGGGGTGGCAGCTCCGTGGTCTGAGAGCCCATACAGACTGTCTCTGATCTGATTGGTCTAAGTACACGACGCCTCGGTCTACTAGAACCGGCGGCTCTGATTGGTGGGCCCCCACCTCTCTCACTAACTGTTGGGACGAGCTATCCACGAGTCAAACAATACTCGTACTACTCGTACGATAGTTCAGCATATAGTAACAGGGGTGTGACGAAACTGTACTCAATCTTAGCGTTTCGTAACACTCACCGTATTTGTGCTATAGATATGTATATTCACCGTGTGTATAATTGAGTATCATCACGGTATATGTGTATAATTGAGTATACTCACCGTATGTGTATATAGTTGAGTACGCTCACCTTATGTGTGTATATAGCTAGGTGTACTCATCACTTGTTGAATTACAATGACAAAATATATACCAATCCATGTTTTAATCAAACGGATTATAATGTCTGGTGAAATTTGTGTTGTATTTAATGGTGACTGACAAGGAGGAAACCTCACCTCAGAGTCCATAAAGTAACGGAAACAATATAGGACAAAGAAAAACAAGAACAAAAAACAAGAAATCTTTATTTATAATTTATTTTGTATACTGCTTGAGAAAGGATTATATTATTTATACATGATGTATGCAATAGCACTTTGATATGCATGACTAGAGACGTAGGTTAGAGGGAGGGTGTGTGTGTGTGTGTGTGTGTGTGTGTGTGTGTGTGTGTGTGTGTGTGTGTGTGTGTGTGTGTGTGTGTGTGTGTGTGTGTGTGTGTGTGTGTGTGTCGTCATTTGGCACAGTAAGTCTATAATATCGAGGTGGGCTAAAATCCCCTCGCAGATAAAAATATGTTTTTAAAGAGAGCGTTGCCCCCGTCCCCAAACACGCACACGCACACGCACACACACACACACACATACACACACACACACACACACACACACACACACACACACACACTCGTTACCCTTAATATAGCAACAAAAATCATGCAACTGAACATGATGATGCAAGAATATCCTATAATTCGTGATATCATTGTCTATCATAGGCTTCAGGCTATCATAGTCTTTTAAGACGATATCCTGGTCTTTTCGGCATTATCATCTGTTCAAGATTTGATACTTATAAAGGATGACTATTGATCCATCCGGGATTTAAGAGCACTCAAAAGAGAGAGAGAGATACATAATTTGATATCTAGCATCTGAAATATTTGATTTATGTGCTGTACATTAGATATATATGTATACCTATACCTGTGTTGTATTAAACGAACTTAGCCACTAATATCTTCCTTTAAACAATCACACGCACACACTTATAAAAATACATAAACGTGTGATGGTTATCATCACTTATGAAGAGGTATATATATATCGATACATTCACACGAAAGCAATCAGAGCCGCTGACGACACACACTGAGCGTTCGTCAGCTGAAGCCGTATCGAGGCTCTCGACTGTTGACGTTCGTATAGCGCTCGTCTCTCTCTCTCCGTCTGCGTAAACACTTCAACTCCAGCTTTCCATGTTTGCCAGGCTCATCTACCTTGTCTCAGTGGCATGGACCACGCTCTTTGGTCCCACAACTTTAAATGTGGTCTTGTAAATATAATCACCTAGATGGAGATATAGTAAACATTCAGAATAACTCTTGGCTGTATAAAATAATACCGTGTGTATGATTTATACAACCAAGTGCTCTGCATTCATTCATTCATCTGCAACATTTTATCGAGTATATATGTACACATGTATATATATATTTGTGTCGTTAAATGCTGCACTGTGTGATGGGCCATGTGTAAACTGGCTGTGTGTATAGCAGTTTATATGTGGATGAGTCTGGGGTGTGTGTGAGTGAAAGACACACATACTATATGGGAGGGGGTCTCGAGCAAGTCAACTTTACTGTCCCCTGGAGGCGACGCTATAGACGACCCGCACTCGAGTGAGCTGCACTCTCCCCCCCCCACAGTGTTCATGTTTTCTTTGTACCAAGATAGTAGATGATCTCTGGCCGCCTGGGCTGTAGTCTTCTTGTGAGTGACTTAGCAGACAACTCAGTCAATGGCCACTAGAATCATACGAGAGGATACTGGTTTACAGGGTCGGTGTGGTGGGGTGGTGCTGGGGTCAAGGCTCTAATGTGCTGGGGTCACGCTCTAGTGTGGTGGGGGTGTTGGGGTCAAGGCTGTAGTGGGGGTTGGGGGTGATTGGGGGGGGGTGTGTCAAGGAACTAGTCACCACACCTCTCGCCAGAAATCAGAGAATTAAGTCATCAATGTCGGAGGAATCTGAAGATGACGACGATGAAGAGGACGATGAGGAAGATGACGATGTGGACGATGAGTCTGAGCCCGATGACGATGACGACGAGGACGACGAGGAGGACGAGGGGTTACAGCCCCCCGAGAACGACGTGAGGGTTGACGAGGACGACGACCTAGAGCGCGATGACGGCGACAAGGAGGACGAGGACGCCTCGTCGTCGTTCTTCTCGTTGCGTCGTGTCGGACGTCGCCCGAGACGACGCCTTTGTCGCTGCTTTCTGCGGAGACAAAGATATGTGGGGTTAACCGTGGCTCCCATGACACGGCCCCCATGACACGGCTCCCACGACACGGCTCCCACGACATGACCCCCATGACACGGCCCCCATGACACGGCTCCCATGACACGGCTCCCACGACACGGCTCCCACGACATGACCCCCATGACACGGCCCCCATGACACGGCTCCCATGACACGGCCCCCATGACACGGCTCCCACGACACGGCTCCCACGACATGACCCCCATGACACGGCCCCCATGACACGGCTCCCATGACACGGCTCCCATGACACGGCCCCCATGACACGGCTCCCACGACACGGCTCCCACGACATGACCCCCATGACACGGCCCCCATGACACGGCTCTCACGACACGGCTCCCACGACACGGCTCCCACGACACGGCTCCCACGACACAGCCCCTATGACACGTTCACCTGTGCTCTAATAGACTCGAACCCCGGACCCCAGGTGTGTGAGCCAGAAGCTCTATCCACACAGCTATGAGTGGTCTTAATAAGGAAAGATTCCAGAAGCGACTACTGCTGCTACGCTGGAATTTTCAACTCCCCACAACTTTAGAGGAAGCTGAAAATTCCAGCATAACATCAGTAATTGCTTCAGGACTTTTTTTCTTATTATGATTGCTCATAGCTGAGTGGATAGAGCTTCTGCTACACACGCCTGGAGGCTCTGTGGTTGTAGTTCGTGCCTCCTAGAGCCCAGGTGAACATTACGCGTATAACGTCAGCCCGAGTGACGCTCCTGCACTCTGCATGTCATGCTCTGCCTCCTGCACTCTGCATGTCATGCTCTGCCTCCTGCACTCTGCATGTCATGCTCTGCCTCCTGTACTCTGCATGTCATGCTCTGCCTCCTGTACTCTGCATGTCATGCTCTGCCTCCTGCACTCTGCATGTCATGCTCTCCCTCCTGTACTCTGCATGACATGCTCTCCCTCCTGTACTCTGCATGTCATGCTCTCCCTCCTGTACTCTGCATGTCATGCTCTCCCTCCTGTATTCTGCATGTCATGCTCTCCCTCCTGTACTCTGCATGACATGCTCTCCCTCCTGTACTCTGCATGCCATGCTCTCCCTCCTGTACTCTGCATGACATGCTCTCCCTCCTGTACTCTGCATGTCATGCTCTCCCTCCTGTACTCTGCATGCCATGCTCTCCCTCCTGTACTCTGCATGTCATGCTCTCCCTCCTGTACTCTGCATGACATGCTCTCCCTCCTGTACTCTGCATGCCATGCTCTCCCTCCTGTACTCTGCATGTCATGCTCTCCCTCCTGTACTCTGCATGCCATGCTCTCCCTCCTGTACTCTGCATGCCATGCTCTCCCTCCTGTACTCTGCATGCCATGCTCTCCCTCCTGTACTCTGCATGCCATGCTCTCCCTCCTATACTCTGCATGCCATGCTCTCCCTCCTGTACTCTGCATGCCATGCTCTCCCTCCTGTACTCTGCATGCCATGCTCTCCCTCCTGTACTCTGCATGCCATGCTCTCCCTCCTGTACTCTGCATGCCATGCTCTCCCTCCTGTACTCTGCATGCCATGCTCTGCCTCCTGCACTCTGCATGTCAAACGTGAGGTTAAACTTATTATTTAATTTTCTCCAAAACTGACAAAACCATTCAGGAGTGAGAACGGCATCAGGGACTCGTGATCTGTTTGGCAACACTGAAAACATGCGCATTCTGGTGCGGGAGTCCGGACTCTAGTGAGGGAGTCCGGACTCTAGTGAGGGAGTCCGGACTGTAGGGCTGGAGTCCGGACTCTAGTGAGGGAGTCCGGACTCTAGTGAGGGAGTCCGGACTCTAGGGCTGGAGTCCGGACTCTAGGGCTGGAGTCCGGACTCTAGTGAGGGAGTCCGGACTCTGGTGTGGGAGTCCGGACTCTAGTGAGGGAGTCCGGACTCTGGTGTGGGAGTCCGGACTCTAGTGAGGGAGTTCGGACTCTAGTGAGGGAGTCCGGACTCTAGTGAGGGAGTCCGGACTCAAGCGCGGGAGTCTTCCTTCATGTCAATACTTTAGCTTTCCTGTAGGAAAAGAATAAGTTCAAATCGAAAACATAATTGATCTGTCAGCACACGCTCTTGAGGCTAATTGAAGGACTCTTAAAGACAAGTTTAGAGATAGATAAACCCCAGGAGGACGTGGGAGACTAGTAGGAGACAGCGGCTAGGAGCACAGGATAGGGATGAGGCTAGAAAGAGGCGGCAGCTAGGAACAAAGGATGAGGGAGGAGGATAGAGGGGCGGCGGCGGCAAGGTATAGATAATTCACGTTGGGAAGTGAAACTCGGAATGCGGTACCCGTAGACTTATGGTCACCTGCGACCCGCTGTACAGCAGATCTGTTCAGATCTGAAACCTATATCTATGGGCAGCACAAAACGTCCACTAGACTGTGCGACACAGTGGTTGCAAGGATCAGGTTGGGTTACCGTTACCTGTGACAGGTGTGCTACAGGTGACGGATCTCACAATGCTGAGCACTCGATGTGCAAACTCTGTGAGAAGAAACTTGGGTCTTGATCTCACACTTTATTGCCAGTCATAAGAACCTTCACAATTACCGGTATGAGGTGCCTGGAGCTTTGCAATTACTTTACACACACTCTGTGTTAATGTGTAAATGCACCCGAAGCTCACCAGTGCAGACTGCTGATCACATGTCCCTGTATGACATAGTCCTCGATACTGTGGACTCCTTCATAGAATCAAGGTAGCTATTTAATTTGCAATGTATTTATGTTAATAAAAAAAACAGACCACACTCACTACCGTGTATTGTGTGTTCAACTGGGAACTCTGATTGTCAAGAAAATAATTCATAAATAATTTATTATATTGCAAATAATTATTAATATAATGATTAAAGCACTCTACATCTATAAGAGAGGATATGTCTGTTCGAGATTATAGACCAGACACTCGGGGCTTCACCAAACTAAGATTCGTCAAGTCCCCCCCCCCCCTAGTAAAATAGGTACCAGGGTGTTAGTTAGCTGTCACGGGCTGCTTCCTGGGGATGGAGGCCTGGTCGAGGACCGGGCCGCGGGGACACTAAAAGCCCCGAAATCATCTCAAGATAACCCCCCCCCCCCTCACGCTTTTCAGCAAGGGATGGTGAAGAACCAAATTGGTTTCTAAGAACCAAACTTCACCAGGTGAAGATGGCGGAGTGTGAAGATGATGCAGAAAAGGGAATGTAGTGATGATGGATGGATGTAGCTGCGGTACCTACCAGTGTCCGGGTAATGAAAAATGGATATAGTGATGTAGGGGGGGGGTTAAAAGGTGGATATAGGGTTGGAGAGGGAGAGGAATATATATAGTAGAGAGGGAAGGGGACACGAAGGGAATTGTGGAGGAGAAAGCTAGTAGAGAGGGAGAAAAATGGGAAGAGAGTAGAGGGAGGGGAAAAAGAAAGAGAGAGGGGAAGTGGGGAAGGGAGAGAGGGAAAGAGAGACCCGGATGCAGCCGGATAGCCCCGCCTAGTAATAAATATAATTTCAGCCGTATATCGCTATCCAAAAGGTCTGCATCAGCCCGGTTGTCTTCAAGTAAACGCTCATAATAATGACCAAAATATACCAAAGAAAGTCTCAAAGGCTGAAGATACGCTCACATGTCACCAAAGTCTAAACTGTACCATAATCACCACGTCAAAACATATTCGAAAGAATGTCCATTAGGCCGAAAATATATCAAGGAATGTCTCCCCTAAGTCCAAAATTCCCCAAGAAATGTTCTGCAGTCTCAAAATACACCAAGGTATACCATCTAAGATAGTAAATACACGAACGTATAACATTTAAGATAGTAAATACACCAAGGTATAACACCTAAGATAAATAATACACAAAGATATAACCCAAACGCCAGAAATACACCTAGAATGATAGTGCACCATTGAATGCCACCAAAATACATTAAGAAATGTCACTGTTCCCAAAACTACAACTAGAAATATTCCCAAATACCAAAAGGCAACAATATCCCAAAGGGCAAAAATTCACCTAATAGTGTTTCTAAAAACCAAACTTCACCAGGCAGTGTTCGGCAGTGTTCCTAAGAACCAAACTTCACCAGGCTGTGTTCGGCAGTGTTCCTAAGAACCAAACTTCACCAGGCAGTGTTCGGCAGTGTTCCTAAGAACCAAACTTCACCAGGCAGTGTTCGGCAGTGTTCCTAAGAACCAAACTTCACCAGGCAGTGTTCGGCAGTGTTCCTAAGAACCAAACTTCACCAGGCAGTGTTCGGCAGTGTTCCTAAGAACCAAACTTCAGCAGGCAGTGTTCTTAAGAACCAAAATCCCAGAAGCGAAACAAGAAATACCATCCAAAATATATATATATATATATATATTTTGCACCAGCAACTCTGCATAAGATGGTAAATCACCGTACATAAGCTGGGAAAATCGACCATAATACCGACGTTATACTGGGAACTGTACGTAAAGGTGAGATCCGGACAGATGCGATGCCCTCCCCTTTCTTCCTTCCTTCCCTCTCTTCCCTCTCTTCCTTCATTCCCTTCTTTTCCTTCCTTCTCTTTCTCCCTTCCCTCTGACCCTTGCTGCCTCATCTTTCTCTGTATGTATTTTCTTCCTCCCTCTTCCTTTCTATCTCCCTCCCCTCGCTTCCCCTCTCTCTCTCTCTCTCTCTCTCTCTCTCTCTCTCTCTCTCTCTTCCGTCATGTACAGTAGCTTGTTACCTGTGACTCGGAGATAACAAGATTTTACCTGGACAATCTCCAGTCCTCCTGCGGCCAAGCTTCTTGGTTAGTCTTAAATATAAGTTCGTGCAGTTCATTTATATTATATATATATATATATATATATATATATATATATATATATATATATATATATATATATATATATATATATATATATATATATATATATATATATATATATTATATATATAGGGGGGTACCACCACTGGTGCAATTATAGGGACCCACAGCCTCAGAGAAGGGAACACAGAGCATTCAGGGAAAAACTTGCCATTTAACTCTGAATACGTAAGAGTGTTCGCTTCTCCTACCACCCCCCTTTTTTATGGTGTACACTTTATTATGCAAGGTTATACAGTTACATATCTGATTTTATAAAAAAATTAACATTAATTAACAAAATTAACATATATATATATATATATATATATATATATATATATATATATATATATATATATATATATATATATATATATATATGTCGTACCTAGTAGCCAGAACGCACTTCTCAGCCTACTATGCATGGCCCGATTTGCCTAATAAGCCAAGTTTTCATGAATTAATGTTTTTTCGACTACCTAACCTACCTAACCTAACCTAACCTAACTTTTTTTCGGCTACCTAACCTAACCTAACCTATAAAGATAGGTTAGGTTAGGTTAGGTAGGGTTGGTTAGGTTCGGTCATATATCAACGTTAATTTTAACTCCAATAAAAAAAATTTCCTCATACATAATGAAATGGGTAGCTTTATCATTTCATAAGAAAAAATTTGAGAAAATATATTTATTCAGGAAAACTTGGCTTATTAGGCAAATCGGGCCTTGCATAGTAGGCTGAAAAGTGCGTTCTGGCTACTAGGTACGACATATATATATATATATATATATATATATATATATATATATATATATATATATATATATATATATATATATATTGCGAACAAGCCTGAATGGTCCCCAGGACAATATGCAACTGAAAACTCACACCCCAGAAGTGACTCGAACCCATACTCCCAGAAGCAACGCAACTGGTATGTACAAGACGCCTAAACCACTTGACCATCACGACCGGACATAATGAGGTGATAGCCGAGGCTATTTGAACCACCCCACCGCCGGCACTCGGATAGTAATCTTGGGCATAGCATTTTACCAAATCACCTCATTCTTTGGGGCACACGTGAGGAACACAAATGCGAACAAGCCTGAATGGTCCCCAGGACAATATGCAACTGAAAACTCACACCCCAGAAGTGACTCGAACCCATACTCTCAGAAGCAACGCAACTGGTATGTACAAGACGCCAAATATATATATATATATATTCCCCCTTCACCACCTTCCCTCTCCTTCTCTACCTTCTTCACTACATTCTCTACCCTTCACTATCTTCGAAGTATAGTCAGTTATAGTGAAGACGAATATTGACGATGATGGTTGTTTAGTAAAGATGGTTACCAAGTGACAGTGATGATGGTGGATAATACAGGTGTGTGGCTTCCGTCACCCGAACAACGCGGATAAAACTGCTCATAGCGTAATGTTACGAACAGTTTTACTGTTGAGACACTTGTGAGGCAGCTGTGTGAGGCAGGTGTGTGAGGAAGGTGTGTGAGGCAGCTGTGTGAGGCAGCTGTGTGAAGCAACTGTGTGAAGCAGCTGTGTGAAGCAGCTGTCTGAGGCAGAAGTATTGCCATGTTTTTCACACTGACTAGTCTTACCACAAAACCAAATGATTATTAAATATTACTAAATTTCTAGAAGTTATATACCAGTCATTATTGCCATTTTTTGGTTGCAGATTTTAATACTCTTACTTTCTGAATCGTGTAGTTTAAATTACAGAAATTATTATCTCACCTGGTTGCTCCGGTCTGTGGCGTTGGTAGAGCGACGCCCGTGTTGGGAGCGGTGGTGTCTGGGCTGGTGGAGGCGACGTCGACTAGTGGCTGGTAGGGGACGACAGGACTCCAGAGGGAGGAACGTCTACTATCCCATCCACTCTCCTGACTAGTGAAGATCTCATCAGTGAATTCCTGCTCTGGGGGACTCGGGAAGGTCCCTAGTTTGGTGTGGGGGTCTTGCACCGGCAGCTGCGCCTTCTTCGGCGACCTCCCGGGTGATCTGTGCGTTGTGTCTTTAAGTTTCTTGGATCTGTGAGCGGGCGAGGTTGGGTTCTCTCTGTGTGTTTGAAGGTTCTGAGGCGCACTGCGGTCGTGGCGGGTGCCGCCCGTCGTGTGCTGGTGCTGCTGCTGCTCCTGGTGATGGTGCTGCTGCTGCTCCTGGTGATGGTGCTGCTGCTGCTCCTGGTGATGGTGCTGCTCTTGGTGATGATTGTTGTGCGGCTTTTGGTGGTGGTGGTGCTGCTGCTCCTTGTGGTGGTGCTGCTGCTCCTTGTGGTGGTGCTGCTGCTCCTTGTGGTGGTGCTGCTGCTCTTGGTGATGGGTGTTGTGCTGCTTCTGGTGGTGATGGTGCTGCTGCTCCTGGGAATGGTGCTGCTGCTGGTTGTGGTGCTGCTGCTGGTTGTGGTGCTGCTGCTTCTGATGACGATGATAAGAGTCTCTTGTAATTTCCTCCTTGAATCTAGAGGCGTTGACGTGTTCTCCAGACCTTGTGCTCTCTCTGCTGGTACATGAACCGGACTTAACAGGTGGAGATGGTGAGCAGCTTTCGGTCCCCGATGAAAGTTTCCTAACTTTCTTTCCTCCACCCGGCCTCTCATCCCTCACATGGCGGGACCTGATCATGTCCTTCAACGTGCCGCTGGAACAAACTGTGGCGTGCACTCCACTGGAACATTTATCTTGGCGGCAGATGTTGGTCTCTTCGGCCTCTCGAAGAGGGACGAACGCCGCCCTACAGCAGGGGGCGTCCAGGGGCAGGTGGTCGGGCAGCGGGGTGATGAGACTCAGTTTTCTCATGACGGGTCGAGCTCGGAGGCTACCGAAGAGATCCTCGGTTGGAAGTGACTGCTTGCGGGGCAACTTGGAGGGCATCTGTTTGTCAAGGTGGCACTCGTGGCGGGAAAGCAAGTGGTGGTTGGGCGGTTGTGTTCCGGCACCTCTTTCCCTTCCCTCAGTGTGGGAATCATTGTTTTTGCCGTCGCTGTCGGGCGCTGAGGACCGACCCGAGTCTGCTGCGACATCGGTGTTTCTTTGGCTGTGTCTCCGCGTTCCATATTCCTCAGAAGGCATACTTGTAATTACACTGTTTTCCGATTTCATATCACCACTGCCTAAATTGCTTGAGTGTTTCTTCGGGAGAGCGCAGTTAGGGGCATCTTTCTTGGTGTCAGATATCTGAGATAATCTACGCGAGTCTGGAGCCGTTGCCTCACAGTCTCCCCGCAAGTTTTCACACTGAGAGGCACTTCGTGACGCGATCCTCTGACAGTCAATAATGAGAGCGTCTGTCTCGCTGAATCTCTTCTTATATTCCACATATTCATCTCTGTCAAAATTGTCGATTTTTATATTTAGCGGCAATTCAAAAATATCGCCAGGTTTGGATATGAAGATTTTTTCAAGGCTGCTTTTGCGTCTCTCAGTGAGGCGAGCATTGATGCTCTCTCGGGCGCCTTCTCTCAACGCTTCCTCGTCCTCCGTAGCAAGAGGCGCAATGATGCGGGGTTTACGGTCACTCTCCGGTTTCTGGGTTGAGAGCACTGTGGATGGTTGCGGTAGAGGCTCCGTCCTCGGCTTCCTGTTGGGTCTGTGGAGAACAAAGTCTGCCTCACGAGCATTGACGTTCTGGTAGACCTCAGAGGTGTGGCCGTATGGTGCCGGGTACAGTAACTCGTTGTGCAGGTCGCCGGGAGTGAAGAGCTTCTGCGTGTACGTGTCCTGTGCTGGGGCTAAAAAGCTGAACCAGTCTGGTGAAGTCACTACAGGTGCTTTAATATTGGTATCCAATGGCCCTAGTGACCCGGACTTTGCAGTCAGGTTTGATAGGGTCCCGTGTCCATCTCCCAACACCAGAGGCTCAACCTCACCAAGATGTTGATGTCTGGAGCGCTCAGTGTTACCATTTAAGGATTCTGTACTAGTACAAAGGGCTGTCGAGGGAGACCTTACTGCCTGACCTTGGAACTGGAAAGGCAGATTCTCTAATGAAGGTCGCTGGGATAGCTGCATTTGTCTATTGTAGGAGGTCCTGTTACTGGTATCTCTTACGGCAGAATCTTGGAGACTGCCCGGAAGACTCACTGTTGTTCCAGCGGGCTCGTGCTGACTAGGAATATTGACCTTAGACACTGAGGTTTTGGGAAAGTCTGGTAAATCAATAGCCTTCGTCACAAGTCCTAGATCAAAGGAGTACTTCCTGGGCGATAAAGGCATTGAGGTGTATGTAACATTGGTGGTGGAGCTCTGAGACTCAAATAAGGGGTTGAGCACGCCAAGTGAAGACCTGTGTGACAGTCTTGTCGCGCATGCATGACTCGTGCCAGGATTGACACACGCACACTTTCCAGGAGGAGAGGTCATGAGGTCACAAGAGGTGGTGAGTAAGCCGCCAGACGTGGGCTGAGTCCTCACCACCTCAGGATTAGTGAACCTTCTAGCAGGAATGCCTTGCGAGCAGAACCTGGGGTTCCGGAGTGTGGGGACCTTGGAGGCACTGAGAGAGTACGAAATATCACAGGAATTGGGCGACGCTTTACAATATGCTACAGATTCCGTCTCTTGTGGTATACTGAAGGGCTTAATGTTCGCCTTGTGGTCGGTCTCCAGAGAACAGGAAGAGAGGGAGGTGTTGGCGCCTAGCAAGGCATCACCCTTCACTAGACTGAAGGGACCATTACTGAGCCCGCCAACGGTGCCGCAGGAGGTGGAAAAGGGTCCGCACTGAAATGGCGGGCCGCATGACGCCAGGAGCGACGACTCGAGAGACTGAAAATTAAACGCGGGAGGGTGATGCTCACGCCCGTAGCCGTGAGCAGACTGTCCGCTCTTCCTCTCGCCAACGTCAGACGTCATCTGCCTCGCGTGTTCATCGTTCATTGCTCTCTCCGACTGTAAGTTCAGCCGAAACAACTCTGGTTTCTCAGCCACGTACGTTATCATGTTCGTATTGTGACCGTTCTTACCGCTACCCGAGGACCGGTCAGCTCCCCCGCTTTCATTACATTCGCCACAAGATGAAAGAAGCCCCTCCGATACTCTCTCTTGGTGTTGGCTAGCGCTAGATGGGATACGTTCCTGGGTCCCGCACTTCCCCGTCTTGTTGTCTAGTGATGGGGCGCTCTCCGCTGCTTCCACTAACTGCTTATACAGCTCTACCCCGTGCTCTCTCTTCGCCTGATAAGCTCCAGGAGGGGACTTTAAGAGATCCAACTCATCTAGATCTTCCCCATTTCCAGAGTCTGGTGACGATTCAGTGAAGTGTTGGAGAACTTGGAGGTCGACCTGGGAGATGGTCGCAGGGTAGGTAGGTAGGTAGAGCGGGAAGGTGGGTTCTGGGAGGTGAGATAGGGTGATGGATCCCGCTGGGTAAGACAAGGAAGTGTGTCCTGAGTGGTAAAGTGAAGCGCCTGGTGCGTGCATCACGTCTTCCAAGACCCTGGTGATCCATGCATGTTGCAACTGTGACCAACACACACACACACACTACAGGGATACCACTCTACTGCAGCTGTGCCTGGTTTACTGTACCTTGACGTAAGTCATCTCTTAGATTGTCACTATTGACCACCTTTTCTAACCCTCCGTCTTATTTGAAAAACCTATAGTTTCTATGATAAAATCTTGTAACACACGATCAGTTAATGTGACAGACACATCACGGTTTCTGGTTATCAGAAGAACACTTTCTGGAAGTCTATCTTGAATATTTTCCAATTACCTGCAGTACTTATGTGCGCTGTCCACTGGGCGGCGTCTCTCTCAACACTCTTCCACACCTTCCATCAGTCATGAGCGGTGAGACTCTTGCTCCCTGCCACGAGTGCCCTCACACACACACTCACTCGAGCTGCACTCAGCCTACCTGTTACCGTGGACCAGGTCCTCCAGAACGCTCTGTCGATCCCCTTTAGCCCTTATGTCGCTCTCACAAGTACTCGAGAATCTTCAACTACATAAAGATTCTTTGTGGACATAAAAATTTTATCTTTCATATCCAGGACTCTCCAGGGACTCGCGTCAATAATGCAGAAACTCTTAAAAAGACTGGGAAGGTTTCTGAAGGAAATCTTTTAACATCAAAACCAGAGAAGTCTACTCGAGAGCCTTTGTGGGCGCCAATCTCCCACGGCAGGTTCTTCGTGGCCTCCGTCGCTGCTTGCTGAAGGTCCCGCGCGCTCCGAGGCGGTCTGGACCGACTTCGAGGGGTTGAGAAGTGATGTTGAGGCTCCCAGCCAGCGTTGCCGCCACCACCACCACCTCACCTGTAACAATGTCAACACCTTAGTCACTCCTAAAGACGTCTCATACCTCTCACTCCACCTTCCTCACAAACACCTTCCAGTATCCCACACACACACACACACACACACACACACACACACACACACACACACACACACACACACACACACATATATATATATAATGTATAGATGATACCAAACTACTGAGCACACATACATCAACATCAATACACTGGGCACCGCCTATGATGTAGCACAGTACGGACATCACAAAGGGCCACCAATTCTTGCAACTATTGAGCATGTAAATTCATTCATTTGCATGTAACAACTGCATCCACCTGGTCTTCCACCCCTCCCCCCCTTCCCTCACCAACTCCACCCATCCCCCCCCCCTACATACATCCCCCCATCCCAAAATTCACACCCACTTAAGCTCTCTCCCCAACTCATTACCTAACCCTTCCCCCTAGAACTTCAAAGGCCGGTACATTATCTCTTCTCCCTCTCCCTCTCTCCCTCTCTCCCTCCCCCCCCCCGCCTCCCTCCCCACTCCACCCATCCCCCCCCCCCTACATACATCCCCCCATCCCAAAATGCACACCTCCACTTAAGCTCTCTCTCTTACTCCCTTCCCCCTAGAACTTCAAAGGCCGGTACATTATCTCTTCTCCCTCTCCCTCTCTCCCTCTCTCCCTCCCTCCCTCCCTTTCCCTCTCTCTCTCTCTCTCTCTCTCTCCCACCCCCGTCCCCCTCTCTCAATTAGTGTTATTAAAATAATATGATCGCTCTACATGAGAATGTCCAACAAACAGATTAGTTATCTAGCGTGGAGTTGGGTTAACAGTTGGAGCGCTCCGCCAGTTTAATTGAAAAATATATAAACCACTTCTTTTGTCGTTCTGTTTTTATTTGAAATGGTGTGAAATAGATAATCTATCACGAAGTAATAATATAAATGGAGAGGTTTTTTTCTCACAACCATACCGGTGCCCCCAGGACACCCTCTCAACCATACAAGTGCCCCCAGGACACCCTCTCAACCATACAGGTGCCCCAGGACACCCTCTCAACCATACAGGTGCCCCAGGACACCCTCTTAACCATACAGGTGCCCCCAGGACACCCTCACAACCATACAGGTGCCCAAGGACACCCTCTCACCATACAAGTGCCCCCCAGGACACCCTCTCAACCATACAGGTGCCCAAGGACACCCTCACCAACCATACAGGTGCCCCCAGGACACCCTCACAACCATTAACAGGTGCCCCCAGGACACCCTCACAACCATTATAGGTGCCCCCAGGACACCCTCACAACCATACAGGTGCCCCCAGGACACCCTCTCAACCATACAGGTGCCCCAGGACACCCTCTCAACCATTACAGGTGCCCCCAGGACACCTCACAACAATACAGGTGCCACAGGACACACCCTGTCAACCATACAGGTGCCCCCAGGACACCCCTCACAACCATACAGGTGCCCCAGGACACCCTCACAACCATACAGGTGCCCCCAGGACAACCCTCACAACCATACAGGTGCCCACAGGACACCCTCCAACACCATACAGGTGCCACAGGACACCCTCTCAACCATAACGGTGCCCCCAGGACACCCTCACAACCATACAGGTGCCCCAGGACACCCTCACAACCATACAGGTGCCCCCAGGACACCCTCACAACCATACAGGTGCCCCAGGACACCCTCACAACCATACAGGTGCCCCCAGGACACCCTCACAACCATACAGGTGCCCCAGGACAACTCTCTCAACCATAAAGGTGCCCCAGGACACCCTCACAACCATACAGGTGCCCCCAGGACACCCTCACAACCATACAGGTGCCCCAGGACACTCTCTCAACCATACAGGTGCCCCAGGACACCCTCTCAACCATACAGGTGTCCCCAGGACATATTACACAAGTGTACTGTGCGGAATTTTAAAAAAAATATTTGGTCGCTGGCAGTAAAGTGAGACGCGGTGGACAGCGGATTAATTCATTGCTGCGTGAAATTGGTACGTTGCTGCCTCAGTTTGTACGTGTGAACGTGAGAGTACATGTGTACGGGCGTGTGTACGTCTCTCTCTCTCTCTCTCTCTCTCTCTCTCTCTCTCTCTCTCTCTCTCTCTCTCTCTCTCTCTCTCTCTCTCTCTCTCTCTCTCTCTCTCTCTCTCTCTCTTCTTGATCGTGTAATCATTTACGTTCGTGAGATTAAACCGTAAGTTTTCCGTTGATGTTTTCCTCGTCTTTGTATCTTCGTGAGATTATCTGTTTTCGCTTTGCTCTTGCACTTAAAGTTTCTCATCCCTGACGTCAGCAGAGGCGGCATCATCCATCCACACGCACACCACACACACGCACGCGCACACACACACACGCACACACACACACACACACACACACACACACACACACACACACACACACACACACACACACACACACACACACACACACACACACACACACAATGAGAGTGAAGAGAGGCACCAGTGGAGTGCCACTAGGGCCAGCGTTAGTGCCCATCTAGTTACTAACAAGTGTTAACGACCTGACAGACCGTCCTGGCACGTCACACCAACAATGCAACACTAACGAGGAGACTCAGAAGTGAAAATGGCCCAATTATGGGAATCACGTCACTCTGGTGAACTTTAAGCCCGCCAAATGCAGTTATGAGGGAGAACAGGAGAGGTGAGGAGACCTGGTCACCAGTGTAGCATGAGGAGCAGCCAAGCTGGGCTAGATGTGTGTCATGGTACTAAAGAGATTATTTGTAGGGCGGAGCTACGAGACTATGCTCGATCCTGCAAGCCTACGCAGGGGGAGAACATTTCCGTGAGAACACACAACTTTAATATGGCCAAATTCTCCGTGTCAGACCCTACCCTCCAACCCCAGCACCACCACGCCTCGCGGGTAATCTCATTACAATTATTATCTCTGATTAAAATTACATTGAAATATTTAGCCCCCCCCCCCCTTGCACCATGATTGCTTCTTGGTCCCCATGATGAATGTTGCAAGAGGTGGCACAGGTGCCCCGAGTTGCACTACCTGAATGTTCAATGTTGCACTGCCAGCTATGAATATTAATTAACTCCTTCCGGTGCAGCCTATTCAACCCTGCAACCAACGGACGTATCTACCCATGTTGACGTGTTGATGACGTGTTGATGACGTGTTGATGACGTGTTGATAACGTGTTGATAACGTGTTGATGACGTGTTGATGTATCCTATATCCCCGCCAAACACACACCGAAACTACGACGTTGGTACAACGTTCAAACAAGGTTTTAACACCTCCTAACCAGTTATAACAACCAATATAGCCAGTTGTAACAACGTTCTAATACGTCATAAACACGATAAGCCAAGACGTAACAACTTTATTACAAGTTGTAACAAGCGGAAAATAGAGACAATTTCGGTTTGTGTTTCCAGGATAGAGAGACATCTCTAAGGGTCCTAACTGGGGGTCTAACAACATAATTACAAGATAAACACTTGCCGGTGATTAATGTATTTGAGAACAATCTCCCTGTGATTATGAGTAGGCCTGTAGTGCTCCACCCGCACCCCGCGGCCACCAACAGAAACACTTGTCTTAAGCCAAGGAACAGTCACTGGATTTATAAGTGCCACGACGGCCAAAGTAGGAATTCCTAGCATGGAACGACGGACTTTTGTGAGGATGGAGAAGCTTATGAGTGTAGAAATCCACAAGGGCCGTGACGAGGATTCGAACCTGCGTCCGGGAGCATCCCAGACACTGCCTTAATCGACTGAGCTAACAAATCCCCTTGTGGATTTGTTCATTTGATGCATCGCGTTAGTGTGATCTCTGTGTGTGATTATGAGTGTGTTTGAGTGTGTATGAATGTGTATGAGTGTGTATGAGTGGGATGTGGAATACACTGATGACACTGAGGTGGCGACTAGACCACAGGAAACAAAGAACGAGCTAAAACTATTTGCTCAAAAGGTAATCCATTCCACAAGCACTTCCAGCTGAGATAATGCGTTTGAAAGCCCACGATGAAACCTACGATGTTTTGGAGCGTGTTAAATGAGCTACAGCATGCTCCTCCACCGAACAATTACCTAGTACAGCTCCAAACCACTGGAAGTTGACGTCTAACTGCCGAGGTATATATATGCGTTAGAGTATCGTGAGGTTTGCAACGACGTTATATTGATTAATTTCTTGACGTAAACGGTATAGTTTGTTGAGACTAGAGAAGCGTTGCGTGAAGTGATGCGAAGGTACTAACGTGACTGGTGTGGCACTCAGGTAACTGGTGTGGCACTCAGGTAACTGGTGTGGCACTCAGGTAACTGGTGTGTGGAACTCACTCCTCACCTTTCCCCTCACCTCTCATCTCTACCTCTCTTATTTCTCCACATAATACTCCCAAACAAGCATCTCCTATCAGCAATAGACCTTAACTCATTTTCTCCTACCCCTCCCTCCTCTCTACCCATCAACCCCCACTCCACACCGACCTCAACTCCCTCTCCCACTTACATCCCCCCACCCAACCCTCCCCCCCACAAACTCCCCCATCCCCCCCACAACCTCCCCCATCCCCCCCCACACCACCCTCCCCCATCCCCACAACACCCCCGGGCAGCACCGGGGCCGGAAATACCGACATCTCCCCCTCATAATTTCAGAGATAAAAATCTGGGAGAAAATTGGAATCCCGAGTATTTTAGAAGTGAGTCAAGCTACGAGTATCTCCCTCATTCTCTCGGGTGATTCAGGACATGAGTGAGAATCTTCACTCACTGTCTTAGTGTAGAGGGGTGGTATAGTGCCGGGGGGACACCGTACACTGTATGGGTGGTATAGTGCCGGGGGGAACACCGTACACCGTATGGATGGTATAGTTTTGAAATTTGTAGTATTTTCACGAAGCAATGTTCATTAAAATTCCTCTTTAAATGTGGGTATGTGTGTGTGTGTGTGTGTGTGTGTGTGTGTGTGTGTGTGTG